TGCCGGAGTTAGTGGTAGACAGCAATCTATTATTCTGATCAAAGATCTTCCAAATGATGAGAAGGATTTGGCCCGAGGCTATCCTGTTTTTTGTGTTTTCGATCAAAATGTTGATGAATACTACCCGCTTATTTACCAATTCATGAGTAAATAAATATTGTTTAGACCAGGCATGCACATGGATACGGATTTTGCTATCCGTATCCGGATATATCCGTAGGGTCAATATCCGTATCCGTTTGTATCCGTCCTACTTTTGAGTCATATCCATCTGCGGATATCCGCGGATATATCCGTTTTTTCTCAAAATGGTCAGCCTTACTACAATTTTCAAAATGGTCAAATTTATTTAAATTTTATTAATGGGTAGATAATTAGGAAATAACTGCATGAAGCAAAATGAACCTTGCTTATGAACATCGGAGGTTCTAAAATTGGAAAGCAGAGTCATACTGACAAAAAAATAAAATTTTGAAAATTTTTAAAAATTTTCGAAAATTTAAATTCCGGTTTCGGGCCGAAATGAAGATTTCGGTTATCTGACGAGTTGATTTCAGCGCCGCAGGCGAAAATTTTGAGAATTTTGGAAGACCATTAAGCAAAAAATTTTCCATTTTCAGCGCCGCAGGCGAAAATTTTGAGAATTTTAGAAGGCCGTAGGCCAAAAAATTCACCTTTTTGCCCAATCCCCTCATCAAATTTATCGCTATTCCTCATTTTGGGAGGAGGGGTAGGGGAAGAACCCCCTGGTTACGGGCCTGGTATAGTTTTGACCTCCAAAATTGTTAAAATTTTGGACATAAGTACGGCTCCCCGAGCCTTTGGGTTCGGGATCGTCGAGGATCAGTTTGCCGGAGAGGGCATGTTGTGGTTCGGGGTCGAGGTTGACTTTTAGGTAGGGGTTCGGGGTCGAGTCGAGACTCAATTATCTCCTGGCTTTAGGAATATAATTATTTTTTCTTGACAAAATGTATTTTTAAAATTTAATCAGTGATGTTTAATCGCAGAAATTAGGGACGGATATCCGCGGATTTGGAGCATCATATCCGTATCCATCCGTATCCGTCCGATTTTTAAAAAAACACTATCCATATCCGTCCGTATCCGCGGATACCCGCGGATATCCGGATATTATCCGTATCCATGTGCATGCCTGGTTTAGACTAAGATTATGTGGATCTGTTGAAAAAATCCACAGAGTTTAATATTTTCCACAGAAAATTTCGTCCGCAGAATCTGCGGGATGTTTCCCCAGAATCAGTGGATGTTTCTCCAGAATCTGCGCACACAGAATTTAATTAAAACAGAATTTACACAAAACCCTATTAAAAACTATCATTTAATTTAAGAAACCACTAGTTCAACTGAAATTACACTTGAAGAATTTGCGGCATTTGAACCATTTCGTATTCAAGGGGAGGGCATAGAAGATAATACATACAATTTATATCAACTCATAAATTCTGAATATGTCTTGGGACGACTACTAACCGAAGGAAAACTTCATGAGCATTATATAAATCCACAATTGATTACTCAGATAAGAAATCAATTAGACTATGGTGCTTTGGTTTATAATGATCAATTAATGACAACAACCGAAATCCGTGAAGGAGTATCAATTCCGCCACAGATTCGAGGGGTATTTAAAGTTAAAAAGAAAATTTTAATAAATGTTCTTTAGCTATATATCTACGTTCCTCCACCTGAAGCGGCCGGAAGCAGTGGCGAAGGTAACCAAGAAGCAGCCGGAAGCAGTGGCGAAGGTGGCCAACAAGCCGCTGGAAGTAGTGGCGAAGGTAGCCAACAAGCGGCTGGGAGACGTCGTCAACGTGATGGCGATGGAAACGGAGGAAATGGTGGGAATGGTCAACGCGGTCGTGAGCGGCGCCGTCGCAATGGCAGAGGCAGAAATGGTGGAGGAGGAGGAAATGGAGATGGAGGAAATTGAAGAGGATCTGCCTATAAACGAGGCTGAAATTTGTTGAAAGAATTGAAGAGAAAAGATTAGTTTTAGAAAATTACTGTTGCGAGGATTGTCTTTATTAAACACTATCTCTTTTGTAAATCCTCTATTAAAGTACCACACTTTAGCTGACAAACAAATATAGATGGAGAAAGAATATTAAAAATAAGCAATCATCGGGTTCTGTGGAATAGTCCCGTTTGGATTCTTCCCACCAGGGTTGTCGGTTCCTGAAAATTCTTCGGATCTCCGAAATCGAGCCGAAGAACCAAACCGAAAAATCATCGGTTCTTCAGTTCGGATCAGAACGACATCTTCCCACGTTTGTTTGAAAAAACAATAAATTTTTTTCGTAGAATAGTGTGGTATTATAATAGAGGATTTTGGGTATATAAATGTGATATTTATTTATTTTCGGGAAGATAAAAGTAAAAAAGCATTTTAAAAATCGTAAACTTAAGGAAAAGGACAACAATGAAAGTGCTAATTTTAAAAAGTTAGTACATCCGCAAAAATTAACACATTTGTAAATTAAGCCATTATGATGTAGCAATTAATAGGCCAACTGAAACTTAAGGCGTAAAGCAATTTTGAAAGCTCAAATCAAAATTCAGAAACAACTTTGCTTAGCCTTCTTGCTTAGGGCTTCCCTGCTATTCCTCCATCCCCCTTTTCTCCCTCCCTCCTTTTTTAAGTGTTTACCAGAGATGTGCAGAAACGGATTTTAAAAAGCGAGTCAATCTAAATTTAAAGAGTGAAAGCCTAAAGGCATATCTTTCCATTTAACTTGTAAAGTTAAGAAATTATTACTCCGCTTGAAGAAACTTTGATTTTCATATTAGAAATGTGTGATTGTGGGTACAGTACTTCAAAAAATATTTAACTTCCTAGGAATTTCATAAAAAATTTTTTTCGACTATCCGAAGGCCTATAGAATTTGCTACAACATAATCATTAGATAAAGATAAATTAGGCCATTTTTCCTTTTTTCAGTTACTGGCATTTTGTATTTTGGACATTTTGTAAATTGACATTTTGTGTAATTTAAAAAGTTTCCAATTTAAAATTCAGTGTCACAGTCATTTTGTCGCGAGTTTAAACAGAAAATAAGTTGACCGGTAGAACAACAATTAGTACAAGTCCTATCCAAACTTTCCCTTTTTGTAATAGACTGCTTTTGAATTCAAAATTCAATATTTTGCAATAGCATTTTGGCAAAATTTAAAGTCTAATTTAATAAATCAAACATCAAAATTGAGAAAAAAATAGCGGCATTTCTTTTATTTTATAAAAGATTGATTAGAAAGACACGCATTCAATCGACTTATGAGACAAAAAAAAAGACACTTCATATAAGAGAAGCTGGGGGTGGGGGAATCGAGAGCCAATAAAAATTTTTTTTATTAATTTTTATTAATTTTTTTCTCTCCCCCTCGCCCTATTTTTGTTAAAATTTATGTTTAAATAAATAGTTAAATAAAAATTTTTTTTGGATTACAGTGGAGACTTACTTTTAAATAGGGACCGAATTTTAATGTTTTTTCCTTTTGGTAATGCTTTGGTTTATGCGATGAGTTTTTTTCTTTACTGAAATCAACGAAATCTTTATCTTAAATGAACAAAGTTATGATCGTTTAATCATATGCAGCGACACAAAAAGTTTTTACTTTGAGGATTAAGTTTTATAATTTTATTCAGAATTACCGATTTAAACAATTTTAATATCATTCGGCCCAGTATGAAGAGCTTGTTCGAATGCTAAATGTTAAATTATAGATCAAGCAAAAAAGCTCAAAATGGTCAGGGAAACGGGAAAATGATATTTAACTCCATAAAAATCTTTCTTTTGACTATCAGAAAGCCCATAAAATTTGCTACAAAATAGTCATCAGATTTTATTAATTTTTTTCTTTGTCTCTCTCTCTCTCTCCATTTATTTCCGGAAAATTTAATTTTAAATATTTTATTAAATAAAATTAAGTTAAAAATTTTTGGATTACAGTCGGACTTTATTTAAAAGTAGGGACCGGATTTGGTGATAGTTTTGGTAAAGTTTTGGCTTTTTCCTATTTCCTGACCATTTTGAGCTTTTTTTGTCTGATATATGTCTCTCTGTCTCTCGCTGTCTGTCTCTCTCTCTCCTATTTATGATCGGTTGGATTTTATGATTCTGAACAAAAAATTCAGGCCAAATCATCGTTTGAAAAACCTTGTATCGCTCCATGCGGTTAAAACAAACTGTCAATACTATATTTTTCTCTAAAAATTTTTTTTCTCTCTACTTTGCGTTTTTTGCTGTTTAAATTCATTTAGCGATTGCGCGCATCCATGAAAATGCCATCCTGTTGTATATAGCAAATCTCCACCCATCTTACTTTTTATTAAAAGAGGGGGATTTATTCATCCCCCCCCCCCCAATTTTTTTTTTAAATTTAATTTTTAAAAATCATCACCCCTCTATTCAGCTTAAATTGATTATATTGCCAATTTATAAAAATTAAAAAAAATTTATTCAAAAATTCTGCTAAAACTCTGCTAAAATGTTTTTGGATCCACTTTTGAAGACATTTATGTTCTTCATTTTTGCTGGATTTGCTCCGTTTTTTGTTAAAGGAATGCGGAATGCTCTTGGTAAATATGTATATAAAATTAATCTGAAGGCTATGATATTTTTCAAAAAAAATTTTTTTTTAATTTAGTAAATATGCAAACTGGTGAAGGCTCTGGCCAATCCTCTAGCAACCTGAACATGTTTTCTCTCACTGAATTGACCTTTCTGATGAGAATTTTAAACAAAATTAATGTTAACGAGGATTACAAACATTATCAGTCGGTTGAAACTTTACTCAATGCGAAAGGCGTTGAAGTAGTAAATGAAGATAATGAACTTGAAGAAGATGATGAATTTGTTGGCGTTTTTCAACAAAAAATCAGAGCGGTAAGGAAGACATTGTAAGGATGATTCACCTTGCATTTAAAACGCTTAGGCGGGGGTTAACGATTTAAAAAGAAAAAAGAGAAAGCATTAGTCGATGCCTCGGTAGCTCAATGGTAGAGCTCCTGCATATACATAGTGAGCGAAAGCGCCTAGCAACAACCAGCAGGTGGTCGCAGGTTCGAATCTTGCCCGGTTGGCTAAACTTTTGCTAAACTCTTTCTACATAAAGATTGGAGGGCTGTTTCTACGGACTTTTTGCGGACTCTTTTAAAAAGTTTCTCATCAATACAGTGTAAAAACATTTAATATACATTACAACACTACTACAAAAATTTCAGAACAATCCGACAACGGGAAGATAGAGAAACTCAAAAAATCCAAGGGGGGTTGTAATTTCTTAACCACTGTACCTTTGCTACCAGGATATAGCTTGTTTTCTCTCCATTATGTGGTCTAGTATTGGGGTCTCTTATAGTGAGATTCAAATACTTATATGGTTTGTTGCCTCATTATCTAAAATTTAAAGGCGATAGATCATTTTGGCGGCATTCTTGGAAATTATCAAAAAGAATTCAAACTAGTCTACGCTAATATGCATAAAGATAAGAAGAAAGATATGCCTAAACAAGCCTTTAAAGCTATGATTAAACAAGCCAAACTTGGTTTTATTAATGAAAGAATATATGATTATAAACAAATGGTTAATGTTGGGGAATATATTCAATTTATTGAAAATCACGGCTTGAATGTAGACGAGTTTGGTGATCAACATAATATTAAAATTATTCCTGATTCATTAAATAATATTAGGTAAAGTTTCCATATATTAAATTGGCTCACTAAATTGGGAGAGATCAGGATGACCCTTTTTCCTCTTTTTGTGGGCATTTTACAACATAGTTGAAACAAAGTTTTTGGCAAATCTATAGTTATGAAGCAGATCCGATGCACCGGTAGAGACAAAATATGAACTAAAATACCAGGGCGTCCCGGATTTGACAATCCTGAAAGGATATAGCTCTGGTGTACCTTGGCCTGCTCACTTTTGGGGGTATCTTATAGCGAGGTCAGAAAGGGTTGTTGGGTGTTTGTAGGTCGAAATACCTCAAGTATCATTTAATAATTTTTCTAAATTTTATTTTTAATTAAGAGATGAAAAAGAATTTGAACAACTTGAAGCCTATTTAACTGGAATTTTAGATCAGGAGAGAAATCTATTTCTTTTATACAAATTGTTTCTTTTGGCACGGAGATTGATATTGACATTCATTTATCATAGTATAGATGGACGATTTTTCTCCATATTTAATGAGTCGGAGTAAGTTTCTATTAATTACCCCATACAGAGCGGGGCTGAAACATTAATTGCCCAGGGTAATTATTTAAGTAAATACGGTATTCGCGGGAGTATCAATTAGGCATCTCCCCTGTAGTCAAAAAAATTAAAATTTATCATAAATTGAAGTTATGTTTTACTATTTAGTTGGCCATTAGATATCGAAGATACATAGGCGAAATTATTTAAGACAACCCGTAATATGTACGAGATCAAAATTTCAACTCTTCTTATCTGCATTTTCAATAAAATTTTAGATCCCAAATATCAGTTTTTGAATACGTCTTTTACTTCGACGATTATGAACTGATTGCAAATCGTTTACATAATTTGATGCGGAATCAGTTTTCAGCTTTCAATAATTTATTTGACAATAATTCTGCTCAGCCATCTGTTACTCTTTTCACAACTCTTCCATATGACGAGAAGGATTTGGCCCTCAGTTATCCTGTTTTTTGTGTTTTTGATCAATCCTCTGTGGAATTCGAAACGATTATTTACACATTCACAAGTAAATTAATTACTTAGGTTGTATCATAAATAATTAGTCCCCCTTGTGGTAAAATGATTAAATGATTATTAAAATTCAACTAAATATTTTCAGACTTCGAATAATAATTTTCTATGATCCTAAGAAAGGTGCCTATTTTCTGGCAAAAAATCAGAATCCTAGGATTAAGTTGGCATATAAATTTTCAAACTTACATGATTTAGGGTGGGGGGCTATTCCCTGTCTCCCTGGCTATTCTCTATCGACGTACTGACCATTTGTACATTTAAAACAAAAATTTAAAGGAGGGTTCAATTAATTATCGGCTATTAAACGCCATAGACCGTGGTAAAAAGGAATAATAAAACAAAATAAAAACACTGACTGTGAATGGAGGGCTGAGGAGGGGGGGGGGGGAGATAATACGAAAGTATCACATTGTAATTTAAGAAACTGATATTTCATCGCAAATAACAACGGAAGAATTTGCAGCGTTTGAACCCTTTCGTATTCAAGGAGAGGGCATACGAAATAACACATATGATTTATACCAACTCTTCTATTCTGAATATGTCTATGGACAACCACCGCTTCAGGGACAACCACCGATTGAGGGACACCCACCGATTCAGGGACAACCACCGATTCAGGGACAACAACCGATTCAGGGACAACCACTGATTCAGGGACAACCACCGATTCAGGGACAACCACCGATTCAGGGACAACCACCAATTCCGGGACAACCACCAATTCAGGGACGACCACTACTTCAAGGAAAACTTCATCAACATTATATAAATCAACAATTGATTGATCAAATAAGAGATCAAGTAGACAAGGATGCTCTGGTTTATGATGATCATTTAACGGCAAGAATTGAAATTCGTGATGGAGTAACTATTCCGCCACAGATTCGTCAGGTCGTTTTAAATATGAATATCAGCGAATCCAGTACTTTGTAATACTTTGCCTGTATTACTAAGTAAATTGGGTGGATTTTCCCCATTCGCTGACCATTATGAGCTTTTTTGCTTGATATATAATTTAGTATATATTAATCGAAACAGCTCTTCAAGCTGGGTTAAATGATGATTGTTTCAGTAAAATAAGTAATAAGTACTTGATTTTATCTAAAAAACTTGGTACGAGTACGAGAAAAATTGAAATTTATACGAACTAAATAGAACGCGTTAATCTCAAAAATATTCCATTTAAAGCTGGTGTTCTGAGGGTGTTTCTAAGATTTTTCAAAATTGTCAAAAATTATTCTTATATTATTCCTTAGCTTTACATCAAACCAAGACGTCGCCGACGTAACGGAAACGGAGGGAATGGAAATGGAGGGAATGGTCAACATGGTGGTGGACGTGGCCGTCACATTTGAGGGAGAGGAGGAAATGAATGAAGTTGAGAAGAATCGACGATAAATGAGGATGAAAATTGTTGAAAGGATAGAAGATAGATTACCGTATTTACTCGATTAATTTGTTTTGGGTCGTATTTAGGGTTGGGGTTTTCGATCTGGCATTCGAGGTATTTTTTTCGGGCCTCATTTTTATCGGGCCGGCCCGACCGACTCTTTTTCGGACCAAAATTCGATGCCCGACTGAATAGAATGCCTTCCGTCTTTAGGACCGGACCGGGCACCCAACCCTAGTCGTATTATTTAAATAAGGTTCTTAAGAGTGAAGTGATGCCTAACCATTTACTTGTTTCTGAAATAATTACCCTGATCTATTATTAATTCAATCTGTTCTTGGAGAGGTTGATTATTGAGGGATTATTTAATTTATTTAAATTCCAATTAATCAAGTAAATACGGTAATTTACAAAATTATAGTTGAAAGAATTGCTTTATCTAGCATTGTTGAACTCTGTCTCTTTTGAAAGCCTCTATTAGAGTATCACACTTTAGTTTCAAAGAAATTAAAGGAAAAGAGTTTGATTGGTATCCCGTTTGGTCTGGTAAAATAATGTGGTATTTTAATAGAGGATTTAGGGTATTTAAAAGTGATATTTTTTATTTTCGGGAATATAAAAGTTAAAAAGCATCTTAAAATAGTAAATTTTGTAAAGAAACATAAAAATTCTGGCATATGTATTTGAACTGAGTAACGTCAAATACGGAACGTTCAAACTGTAGAACGAATATTTGCAGCAATAAACATTTCAAAATAATTTCAATTCGAGAGACAAACTACTCAGTTTGCAACAGAACTATTCAGGGCTTATGTTAAGCATCTTAAAATCGTAACATGCAAAACTGTTTGAGAACTTATCGGGAAACTCAGTGGTTACGCATTTAACAATCATTTACTCGGGAGAACGATCTTTTGCTAAACTTTGAGATTGTTTGCTTTACTTAAATTCAACATATGTATTAACAATTGAAATTTAATAAAAATTTTAGAAGTTTTTGAATGTCTCTGAATTTTACGTTTCAACTTATTAAGCTTATCAAACAAAAAATAGTGCAATACCAAGGCTAGTCTTCCCTTTTCTTCCTTTTTATGTACATAATGGTCAATTTTTTCCTTCCTCAATTTCACTTTATTTCCCTGTGGAAATCAAATTCAACATATTAACAATTGAAACTTTCTTTTCCAAATAATAGACTTAACAAAGAAAAGATTAATTTTTGAATAAATCAATGTTGGTATACATATAATAGAGATCGAGCTGGACCTGGACCAAGGCCTGGGTTTTTCCTGTAAACAGAGTCCAGGTCCAGGCATTTTTTGACCTTCCTGGGTTTTTCCTGGACCTCGGTTTTTCCTGGACTACAGGCCCAGGATCCGGCCTCGGTCAATAAATCAAACTCAGAGTCCAGGAACAGGTACAGGCTTTTCAAAAATCTCTATCTCTAGTAATAAAACATTAGAATGTTATGAATCACATTTTTCTTATTAATACATATCATCTTTAAAAATATGGAACGAATTAAAAATTTTTTTTAAGTCTTCGCATTTTCATGAAAAACTGATTAAGCGACAATAATTTCGATACATTCAAATTTTCTTAGAAGGAAAAAATTGTCAAATTTTGGGTGAAAATAGTATACAAAACGAGGAGACAGGAAATAATGTCATTTAAAAACACTTCGCCAAACATTAATTTTGGCGATTTGCAAAACATTTAAAATTAAAATGTGTATGAAATAACGTGAAACAAAAATAAGCCAAACATTTTTTTACTTTTATCTTCCCGAAAATAAAAAAAATATACCAAATTTATATACCCTAAATCCTCTATTATAAAAATTTTTCTCAAAATTTAAATTTTCACTCTAATAGAGGATTTACGAAAGAGATGTAGTACTTATAGTTTTTATAAAGACAATCCTCGCAAAAATAATTTTCTAAAACTAATC